AAGACAACCGGGAAGAGAAAAGAGTGCAGACGGAGGAGGAAACAGAAGAGTGAACCTGCCTGGTAATCTCCCAGCAGCCAATGCGTCTCCTGGAAGGTGCCCGTTCACTCCGTTTGTGGGCATGTTGCTCATGTTACCCAGTATTCCACTGCGCATCTCCAGATCAGTGGGGTACGGCCTGCGGGGGTCACCTACACATACATGCACATCATAAGAACAAGAACAAATATAAGAATAAGAACAAATATAACCGAACATGTTTCTAAGGAAATCACATGAGTGAAAGAGACGAATAAAAGAATTGGACACAGGAAAAAAAAATACTGTCTGTTTACCTGGAACCCAGTTGAGAGGAGCACACACTGCGTTACTGGCACTGATCCTGTGAGCATATTTGATGATCTCCTCTGAAGAGATGCTCCCTGGTGAAAACACACAAAAAGAGTGAGACAAGAGTCGATTTTTAACTAGAGCAGCATCTATTTGATACTATGGTAAATCAATACATTAAATCAAGTAAATAAAATACAAGTACTTGCATCTCAGTATTATGACTTAATCAATTCTACTGAGAACTCCCGTATTTTCCTGAACATGTGTCACATTTTAAATAATCTGAAACATGCTGGAACTTAAAAACCAAAGAGGCTTAAATTAATGTCAAGCATATGTGAGGCCAAGTTTATTTGTATAATGGATTTTCACTGTCAGTTTAAATAAATTCCTTTAGGCTTGGAGTTTATGTGTTTTTTTTTATAATAATGAATGCCATTATAATTTATGCTTGTATTATACTTATATTTTACATTTCTGTTCATTTGAGTACCATTAAATTAAAAGATTTCTTGTGGAGTGAAGGAAACTAAAATACATCTTTACAGTGTTTATAATGCTCCAGAGAGTAATAATTAAGTGTCTTGTACACCGATGAACCTTTTCAGCGTCCCCCCGCCTCTCAACAATGCAAAACGCAGATATGACCTAGTGTGAATTATAGTCAGGTGAGACTTATTTTCCAGAAAATATGGTCATAATTTTAATAACACAATAATACCTTTTCTGGCCTTTTCAATAGACTTCAGCTTTTCTTTGGCTTGGTAGACAGCAGTGGCCTGATAATGAATGAAAAACAGAATTATTTCCAGTTTAAAGAACTGATTCATAAATATTGTGTTAAACACAGTTTGTATAAAAAGCTGTGTGTTGCACTTCATCTTAAAGTGTCCTTGTTACAGTGTAAATACACAAATACATACTGGTTAATATTAGCTGACAACATACTATATGTTTAAGGTTTGGTTTAGGGTTAGTTGCTTGTAATTATGCATAATTTACCGTAATTCCTATAGTAATTACATATAACAATGTTGATGTTGTTTTTTAAAGTGTCCTCATTGTGAGTTCAAAGTAATTAAAATACATTTGTAATGCTCTTTGCTAATTTTGTAATTTCAAATGACCAATGATCAAACTCACAACAACACAACAAGCAGTTGTTATTGTTGGAAATTAAATATCTACAAAGTTGCACAAAAGGTGATGGTTTGTAAAGTAATAAAGCATGCTGATCTGTAACTGAATGTTCCTGAAATAAACATGCATTGGCTCAGTTACCAGTACATGCTCAGCCTCTTTGAGTTGTTTCTGGAGCTGCTGGATATCGCTGTCTCTCTTCTCAACTTCCTTCTCCAGAGCCTGCATCTCCTGGTGCACTTCGCCCTGCTCCACCGCCGTCTGCATGAGCTCCTGGAACTCTTTATCTCTCTGCACTAACAGCTCCAGTATCTGCTCACAGAATCAGCATACGGTCAATTCATGTGCTACACAGCAATTCACAAGGCTATATTAATACTAATTTTAACTCTATATTAAACAGATAATTAACTCTAATTAAACAGATAATGCAAAATGTATTTCTTAGTTAGGATTTCTCTGGATTTTCTTTTTCTTTTTCCCAGGCTAAATCAGAATTTTAAAACCTGTAAATATCAGATACAAATCTGTCTTCTTCTTGAGATTTCAGTGATGTCCTAAGTATTGTCTGTACTTGTGTGTGTAAACAGTGTCTCTCACATCTGTGTCCTCTCCAGGCTGGGGCAGTTTCTGTGTCCTGGACAGCGCCAGCATCTCTATCAGCTCTCTGCAACACAAACAAGAACATAAGAGAACTGAAGAGGAGGTGTGTTTGTGAATAGTAGTAGTGTATAATGTGTTAACAGTTGTGAAAACAGCAGACTCGAGTGGACAAAGGAGACTGTGACTTATTTATTCCATTATGATCTAATCCAGCAACTGTTAGCAGGAATCACTGGGAATTTCATGAATGAACTAGCAGTTTAATATAATTCTGCTTTGTAACAGCTAAAAAACAGACAGAAAAAGTTTATTTCATCTAAACATGCAGAATATATGAAGACAAACCTGGATAAAACTTCAATATCATCCAGAGTGGATAAAAGCTTCTCTTTCGTCGATTTCTCTGCCGCCGCCGCCATGACTGTTTCTCCTCGCTTGCGCATGCGTGAAAAATAACACGCAGAAGCAAGAGTCAGACAGTGACGCCTGTTGGCAGACGGACCACAATATACAATCGCTCTCAATAAAATATCTACGGTGACCGAGAAGTGCAAAGCAAATCACAATTCTGAAAACAAAATAACAAATTACAAATGCAAATGCAAGTCTAAAAAACAAAATAACAATTCAGAAAGCACAACAACAATTCAGAAAACATTATAACAAGTCAGAAAACACAATGACAAATTCGAAAACAAAACAATATGCTATTTACACTATGTTAAAATAGCAGGATTTCTACTATCAAGTATACTACTTGTTGCAAATAGTGGCAATTATCTGCACTTCAGTATTGTAGTACATTATAAAACAGTATGCAATAATAACGTATTGAGTGTAAATTATAATTTTTATTATTAAATGGATGCCACCTTATTGGTACAATAAAGCCCTCCCTACACCTACCCGATACTTTATTTTCAACTTTTTGATTATTTCCTTAATTTTTATTGAAAATAAATACCTTTACGATGTGATACGAAATTTGAAAAGGGAGAAAAAAAAAGTTCGGCAAAAGGCGGGATCGAACCCGGGTCGATCGCGTCAAAAAGCCAATGGCACACGATTATCCATCGGCGCCACTGCAGCTGATAGTTTTTCAGCCACTTTTAACTAAATGTAAATAGACACCCCGTACTTTTTATTCCATAGTAAGGGCAATTCATACAATACATTTAAACTGAGCTACTTAGGGTAGGTGTAGGGAGGGCTTTATTGTACCAATAAGGTGGCATCCATTTAATAATTAAAATTATAATTTACACTCAATACGTTATTATTGCATACTGTTTTATAATGTACTACAATACTGAAGTGCAGATAATTGCCACTATTTGCAACAAGTAGTATACTTGATAGTAGAAATCCTGCTATTTTAACATAGTGTAAATAGGTATTTGCACTTAGTGTAAATAGCATATTGCTAAAAATACTGCTATTTTCACTTAGTGTAAATAGAATCCATTGCTAATACGAGATTTGAAAAGGGAGGAAAAAAAGTTTGGCATAAGGCAGAATCGAACCCGGGTCGATCGCGTCAAAAGGCTAACAACACACGCTTATCCATCTGCACCACTGGAGCTGACGGTTTATAATCACTTTTAACATAATAATCACATTTAAACTGAGCTACTTTAATACCATCTCCGAACTTTCTACCACGACTCTGCTGTTCTTCAGCTGGTTCTTCCGTGTATACGTTGATTGACAGATGTCTCGTCCAGTCAGCGGTGAGTAATCCCAAACCAATGGCGCCGTCTCAAACTATACCTACCTTTTCCGGTTTGTCTGATTTGTCGTTGTGTTTTCTGACTTGTAAATTTGTTTTCGGATTTGTCATTGTGTTTTCTGACTTGTTATAATGTTTTCTGAATTGTTGTTGTGCTTTCTGAATTGCTATTTTGTTTTTTAGACTTGCATTTGCATTTGTAATTTGTTACTTTGTTTTCAGAATTGTGATTTGCTTTGCACTTCTCGGCCACCGTAAATATCCGTAGTGTTCATATAAACAGTTCTTGGAGAACTGCGGGGTAATAGAGTAAACGACGAAGAACATATAACTGGTTATGACGACAATACCTGTCAGTTATAGATGCCGTTGTAATTTGGTACTTGTTCATTTTCTCAGCGCTGGTGAGAATCGGCCAATATTCGTTTTTGATTGCTCGATTATTAGCATATGTTGCATTGTATGTTTAAATTGCGTTGAGTCCAAGAAGATGCAAATGTTCTATTTGAATGACAGTCAGTGGGGAATTTGTCCGTCTAATCGCAAATGTTGATCATATTCCAGAGGTGATTCAGATATGATATGATTTGTCAATAAGCAAAAATCCACTTGTTGTCATCTTAATTAACATTTTTAATCTTACTGTTAAGAATTTAAGTGAAATGATTTAGTTGAAGAATTTAATTAAATCATCAAATTAATATTACGAATAAAAGTAAAGACTGTTGTTAACAATAGCAACAACTGGAAACAAATTTTTTTTTTTTTTTCAGTTATACCCTGTGGTTCTCAACCTTTTGACTACAAAGCCCCACACTGTCCAACAATATTCAAAGCTTATAGCCTATTGTTTGGGCTTTTTCAACGCTTGTTTTGTCTTTTTTATATATATAATTTTAAGTCATCTTGAGGCACCCAGAAGGCTGCTGAAGCCTTCTAGTGGGCCACTGACCCCTAGATGAGAGCCACGTACAGCTTTGTGGTTCTCAAGAATAATTCCAGATGTTAGTTGTTACTATAATTGTGTCCTTATATATTCTACATTTAACTGTAATTAAAAGTACTGGTAATTTTAAAATAATCAATCATGTATAACAATGCATTGAGAAATAGAAAGTGCTTGCCATAGTGGTACTTTCCAAGTTGATTTTCTAGTAGTTGTCACTAGAGGCAGTGAGAGCTGTAGATGTGATGATCTGTCATTTGCGTCACACACAGACATCACTGCTGATCAGGAAACTAAACGCTTTCATTTTGCGCTATCTTTCTTCCTCGATCTCGCGGAAATAACCACTTACAGAAACTTTTCAATATGGTTAAAGTTTCTTTTAACAAGGCTCTCGCCATAAAGGATCCAAAGAAGGAAATTCTCATTCCTGGTGTACAGGTACTAACAAATCTCGATGTATATTTACTTCTATTGAATTTCGTAACCGCATTTTAGGAATGTTTGGGTTCAATATTATCTCGTAATTAAGACTTTTAATCGAAAAGTCCAGTTATATGTGCGCATTGTTTTTTATATTATCTTGAGAGAAGCATATAAAAAGTATCCCAAATGCAGAAGTAAATGGGTTTCTTTGTTTAGGTTTGCTCATCAAACTTTGATCAGGTTGACTGAAAGTGTTATAAAATGGCTGACGGCCCAAAGTTTGTCAAAGACGGGTGGTAATCACTCTTGTAATCACTAATACTCTGGTAAAAAGTTACTGCAGTTCTTTTCACCTCCTTAAATTGATGTTAAATTGAACTACCTGCCCTTTTTAATATAAAGAGCTGTCTTAGTCCACAAAGTAAAAAATAAAAAGTTTTTATTCAGTAACTCATGTCCCTCATTTTTATTGTCATTTTTTACTTTAAAGAATATTTTATGTGTTTAATTGTAATTTATTTTGATGTATTCAACTTATATGTTTTGATAATCTAATAATAATTAAAAAAACACGAATTTACACAAGCCCCTATGGGATGTTTACTGATACCAAGTTCACTTAGTTAAGTGAAAATAAGTGCAATTAGTTGCGCTTACGTTTTTGTAAGTGTAATAAAATGTTAATAAACGCATAATTTCCTGGTATTGTTGGGTGTGAGACTGCCTGATCAGACTGTATTGGGCTGCTTGTTTGTGCGTGTGTTTGTTGGCAGCTGCCAGACAGCCTGTTGTTGCCTCACTGACACTTTTTCTTTATTATTTGTATGCGAATAAAAAAAAGCTCTTCACTGATTATTTTTATTAGAAAAACAATTTAATACTTGTGACACAAGTGACAGTATAGAATAGAATAGAATGGAATAGAAAGAAAATGGATGACAGACTTCACCCACATAGAATTTATGTGGGTGGGCCGCACTAGTTAAAAATCACCAAATCAAGGCTTGACTATGGGCCAGTGGTGTGGTTACCCCTGACTACAAGGGGGGCACTTACAAATGTAAAATTGAAATTGAGATTGATAAGCAGTAGGTTCATTCCAGTTGACCAAGTGCCCTGCAAAGTGGACTTAACCATTTTGTGTGTGTGTGTGTGTTTTGTGTGATGGAAAGCAGTAAACATGGTTGTGTTTCTCTGAATGGTATTCTTTCAGAATAATTTAACTGTGTTTCTCACAACACACTTTAGAAATATTTTATGCTCACTACCAGGTGACTTCACTGTTATATATGTGAGTGCTTTTCATGGGTTGTGGAAGACAGACGTGTTGAGACATGTTTTATGTGTGCACTCTCAAACATGTTTATGATACAGGCAACTTTGAAGAAAATTAGTGTATTGCATAAGGAGACAGAACTGCAAGCCAGGAATAAGAAAGTTAGACTTCAACTTAAAGGGATGGTTTGCCCAAAAATGAAAATTCTGTCATTAATTACTCACCCTCATGTCGTTCCAAACCCGTAAGACCTTTGTTCATTTTCGGAACACAAATTAAGATATTTTTGATGAAATGTGAGAGCTCTCTGACCCTCCCATAGACAGCAATGCAACTGAAATATTCCCAGACCCAGAAACATAGTTATTTTTGTTTTCTTTGCGCACAAAAAGTATTCTCGTAGCTTCGTAAAATTGAAGTTGAGCCACTGATGTCACATGGACTGTTTTATCAATGTCCTTACTATGTTTCCGGTTCTGGGAATATTATATTTCAGTTGTGTTGCTGTCTATGGGAGGGTCAGAGAGCTCTCAGATTTCCTCAAAAATATCTTAATTTGTGTTCCGAAGATGAATGAAGGTCTTACTGGTTTGGAACGACATGAGGGTGAGTAATTAATGACAGAATTTTCATTTTTCGGTGAACTATCCCTTTAAGCTTAGAAATGAAAACTATTCTACTGCTTGTCTATACCATATGATTGTTGCTGTTGTTGATTTTCCTGCTGTATCTTAACTGTAGTGTCTTTGAGCTATGGAAAGTGCTATATAAATTAGGCTAAACATTATTATTAAAAAAAGAAAAGAAACCAAAGTGCAAAATACATATGTAAATACAGTGCAATTTTATCTGATTTTACTGTGAAACCAGGAAGTGCCTGATTCATGAGGCATTCAAGAAGCATTAAAAAGACTCTCAACTGTAATTTCTGGTCAAGGCCATCCAACACTCGCCTTCATGTACTCAATAAAGGGCTGTGTGGTTACATTAATGGGAGAATGTGCAAAACAACAACAGCAAACACTCCTCTACAGGATATTAAACTAAGATCAACTATTTTGACTATTTGGATTAAATGAGTACAACACAATGAAACAAGGAGCTCTGAATACATTCGGTGGCACTCTATCTCCTGCATTATAGCCTACATGTTATCTGTGTCTCACTTTTTATCTTTCTGATTGTCACTTAAATTCCCCTTCTGCTATTCAAATAGAAACTGTTTGATTAACTTTCTCTTTCAATTCATATTGCACTTAGGCGTGCAGTTATTGTTTGAGTGAAGAAGCATTTTTGTAGATTAGAATTTAAAGATTTTTCCTCTTCGTGACGTTTTGCAGAAGTTGCTGACACCAAACTGTTTTAACGCCTCTTTGACTGGAAACCAGAAGAGATGCAGTGTGAATCTCACTTCTTTTTTTGTTCTGTTTGTCTCATAACTGCCATTTGTCATAATTTATGTTTAAAAGACTCTGAATAGACTAAGGTTTTTCTGGTTTCATTTGTGGTGTTTCTCATGGCAGATGATATCTGCTATCTGTGAGCTGTGTGTGAATGTCTGCAGGGACACAACTGAAAGTTTAGGCTGAAGGTCAGGCTGGCGAGAGTCAGGCCCCGTTGTATACTCTATACTTTACATAATGCTTAAAATAAGGCATTCATTTGAACAAGGAAAATTAATCTCTATCCAGTAATATTCATATTTTATCCTTTAGTGCTTTGAAAATCACTCTCTGTAACTTCAATAGAGGACTTTAATTGTAGTGTTGGCCTGTTCTTTTGATTTAAGCCTTGTTTAATATGCTTAAATGGCTACATTTATTTGATTAAAAATACAGTAAAACAGTAATTTGTTAAATATTATTGGTTTAAATAGCTGTTTTTTTATTTTGATCAATTTTAAAATGTAACTTTTGTCTGCAATGGCAAAGCTGATTTTTTCAGCAGCCTTTCTTCCATTATCTTCAGTGTTATGTGAACCTTCAGAAATGATTATTTTTGATGCTAAACAAACATTTCTTCTTATTATGAGTGTTGAAAACAGTTGTGCTGCTTAATATTTTTGTGGAAACCGTGGTATGCTATTTTTTCAGGATTCTATGATGAATAGAATTTATTTAAAAAAATTTTGTAACATTATAAATGTCTTTACTGTCACTTTTGCTCAGTTTAATGAATCATTGTTGAATAAAAGTATTAATGTATATTGTTAAGTAATTGTTCAATTGTAATTTTGTAACCGTCGTTTCTCTGTGTAATTTGCCCTGTAGGATTCTGAGGCAGCGGTGTTGGTGCGTCCGCAGTCTAAGGTGTGGTGCTGGTGCTTCTGTCTGGGATTGGCTCTCGTTCTCTCTGGCGTAGTGGTGGGAGGAGCCTACCTATATAGATATCATGCGCTTGAGGTGAGATAATTGATGTAACCATAGTGATATCAAAAACAAAACATCATAACATCTAACATGTGTCATCTTGCATTGATGTTTATCTTCATCTTGATTCATCTCTATAACATTTCATAATCAGTCTAAACCTTGAAGCAGTGATTTTCAGCTGGTGGGTTGTAACTTGTGACCCAGAAATGGGTCACAGATTTTCACTGAAATGCAAAAGCAACTATAATCGAGCATAGACAGAATGTACAGAATGTAGACACAGATACATGGAATTAACAAAGTGATTATTACAGCACTGAGCACACTGGCAACCAAGGTGGAGTATGCAGTTTAGATATATAATCAGGGGAGAGAGTAAGGTTGTTAAATTGACTTTCCTTTGCTACAGATGCAGGAGATCGTGGCTGGCAGAGCAGATGATAGGAAGGATACACACACCTCTTTGCAATTGGTGAGTATAGAGGTAATCCCTTTCAACAGGTTTGTAGGCAGAGAACACTGGTGACACAAAGGAAGGGTAGACACACTGGAGACAAATCGCTAGAGGTAATGCTGGAGTTCAGGAAGTCAGGTAAGTAGTCCACTTTGTACAAACGAGGCCGGACAATGAGGTGAGATGAGGTGTGTGCGTTTGTAGCAGTCCTAATGAGTTAGCAGGATGAGTAGCGGGTGTGTGTGATCAGAATTTTGGTGCTGGCAATTCTGTGACAGTACTTCCCCTATGTCATGGTAGTCGACCTCTTCCTCGGGGCGAAGGACGATCAGGGTGAGAGTCGTGGAAGGCTGTGAGCAGGGCTGGATCAAGGATATTGTCTCTGGGGACTAGGGTTGGGTACCGTTTAGGGCTGGACAATAATTCAATATCAATATGTACACTATTCCATTCAGTATAATTTTTATTATTTTTTTGGGAAAGAAATTATAGAAATTAATACTTTTATTTAGCACGGATGCTTAACATTGATCAAAAGTGATGATAAAGGCATTTATAATGTTACAAAAGATTTCTATTTCAGATAAATAGTGTTCATATCAATATCGGAATTATATCGTATCGACCAAAATTAAGAAATATATCGTGATATCAATTGTGGCCATATCGTCAAGCCCTAGTACCGTTCATATTTTAACCGGTACGGTACCGGTATTGGTACCTGAATTTCGGTGCCGGTACCCAACGGTAACTTTTTTCGGTACTTTACTCTCTGAGTCTGTGTAATTACAAAAACATTTATTTCAGTGAAAAATTAAGTCCAAAAGTCTCAATTTCAACATTTTGAACAACAGGGCCCTACAAACTTTTCCTTTCTTTTTTTTCCCCCCCAGAAATTCTTGTTTAAATTTTTCTGAAAATCAAATGAAGGCATTAAACGTTTATTTTAAACCAAATGAAAATTAAACCCTTTTATTTTTTGGCAAACAAACTGAGGTTTACTGTTGAAATTAATACATGGAAGAAAAATTTACAAAAATTTTAATAGGCTAATAATTGTATTATTATTTTTTCTACAATTAATTGATTAATCTGGTTGTAATATTTATTTTTATCATTTAATTGTTTTATTTAAATTTGATAGAAAATTGAATATTTAAAGATGTACATTATACTGTACAAAAGTAATACAAGAGTAATATATTTCTGTTACATGTTAAACCGTACTTTTATTTTGACAGGTTGCCATGACGTTTCTGTGTGTAATACACAGAATGATGATGCTAGTTTTCTCAAATGAAACGGTAAAATTCTCGCGAAGCAGCTCTAGAGATAAATTTTTTGTGTTCATGCCGTCATATAGTGAGACGCAGAGGCCGAAAATCATTGCGAGCGTCACGCATGCTTCAGTATTCGTGTAGTAAACAAAACTGCGTTTCCGCCATTCATAAATACAGAGGCAAGTGGAACATACAGGATTCATATTTAAACCGGCTTTTTGTGTTTTAATATTCACAGACACTAGTTCATATTGCGATTCGAATTAAGTGGCGGACCTACTTTTGATTTATTCATCCAAAAATGTACGAATTCCGTGGCATTCCGCGCTATAGAGTAAATGACTTTTTTATGAATGGACTCCGTCCGTGTTTTCGCAGAAACCATATGGCCCTAGAAATGTAACCACACTTCAGAAAATTTCAGCTTGCCTGTGTGTTGTTTGAACGAGTTGCAGGGGTGACATCACGTCACAGGGTCTCTCTTTCTCTCTCTGTAGCATATGCGCCCAGATGCGTTCTCGGGTACCGAAATTTGGCACAGATTGATTTAATGTGAATCGGTACTCGGTAGTACCGACGCATTTCGGTCGGTACCCTTAAAAGTACCAAGTTCGGTACCCAACCCTACTGGGGACCCATGAGTGCTCCTCTGTGCCATGACCTTCCCAATTGACCAGATACTATACTATACAATACAGATACTACAACCATCCACTACAGTGCTGGGAGTTCAGGATCTCTCTCACTCTGTACATGGCTCCATCTTCCAGGGTTAGTGGAGGGAGGGAGGGGGGGTTCCTAAGCTGGGCCAGGCTCTGTGGAGACAGAAACAGGTGGATGATATGGTTTATGGAGTGACACATGGAATGTTGAATGGATTCTGTAGTGTGCAGGAAGGTGCAGTTGATAAGCGACTGGGTAGATCTGTCAGGTGATGGTGAAGGGGCCAATGTATCTGGAAATAAGCTTCTTGCATGGAAGTCACATCCTAATGTCTTTGGTGGACAGCCAAACTGTCCAGGCTGGAAAGTTGGAGTTCTATCCGTTGGATGTCCGCCTGGATCCATTGGTGGTGCACTGCCACTGTGAGTGAGTGTCCCATTCCCTTTCGGTCTCTCAGAACTACAAGTCAACAGATGGGATAAGTGATGGTTTCCCGGACCACTGGAACAAAGGAGGCTAGTAACCAAGCATGCACCGGAAGAGAGTGAGTCCAATGGCAGACTGATAAAGGGAACTGGAGCCTAGGAACTGGTTCCAAGAGTTCTGGTAGCCATGGCAGAAGGTTTGTAGAATAGGTCCAGTCTCCTGGATTTCTCTCCCCATCTGCCCATTCGATTGGGGATGGTATTCAGATGAGAGGCTCAGTGTCACACCTAGGAGGGTGAAGAAAGCTTTCCATACCTTTGCAATAAACTGGGGACCCCAGTCTGATACTATGTCCTCAGGAATCCAGAAGACATGGAAGACATGATTGAAGACGAGTTCTGCAGTTTGCATTGCAGTGGGAATCTCTTTGAGAGGAAGCAGATCACATGATTTATAAAGTCGATCAATGACAACAAGAATGCATGTGTTACCATCAGAGGAGGCCAGGTCTTTGATGAAGTCCACTCCTAGGTGTGACCACGGGCGATTGTGAACGGCAGCAGATGGAGCTTGCCTGTTGGTAGATGGCTTGGGCTCTTTGAGATGGCACAGTCAGAGCAGCCTTGAAAGAACCTTCTCATGTCCCTGGCCATGTTGTGCCACCAGAAAGGATCTTTAAGCAGCGAGAGTGTGCTGTTGGCTACTAGGTGATGATTGGGGTGCGCTGACTGGGACACCCCGGTGGAGCTGTTTCAAGGGCATTGGAGGATGTGGTTAGTTGCTGTGACCACTGGATGGGACTCAGAATCAAGTTGGGAGGCAAGATGGGCTCAGGTTCCTCTGTGACCTCTTCTGCAGCATGAAGACGGGAGAGGGCATCAGCTTTGACATTCTTGGTACCCGGATAATAGGAATTGTAAACAGAGAACACTGGAGACATGAAGGAAGGGAAGACTCGCTGGAGTTCAGGAAGTCAGGTAAGTAGTCCACTTTGCACAAACGAGACCAGACAATGAGGTGAGACGAGGTGTGTGCGTTTGTAGCAGTCCTAATGAGTTAGCAGGATGAGTAGCAGGCGTGTGTGATCAGAATTCTGGTGATGGTGAGCGCTGTGATTGGCTGATGTTGAAGCCTGGCAATTCTGTAACAGCAAATACTTCAAAATCATCTGCCACTTGGTAGAAGCTAGCAAAATTAGCCACAAGCCAATATGCAAAGATCCCATGACTTGCCCTCATCCTCAAAAATCACAAAATTATGCAAGATACAACTTAGACTGCATAGCACTGAGAGTAAACATGTATGTGCAACAGTGCAAGCCATTTTACATGTTGGCAAGTTCTAAGAAACTAGTCACTAGTATTTAAAATGTGAAAAAAAACGTCTCTTTATAAAGTGAACACATCCCGAGAGAAAGTCACAAATATTCTTCCAGAAAAATGCTGAATTTTTCAGACAGCAGGACATTTAGATCTGTACTTGTAAATTATTTCTGTATCAAGCTTTTTTTCCCCTAAGAAACCGTAGTATTGTTACACTTATGTGTCATGCACCTCCCACAATGAGCAAATAATTCATTTGCCTTTAGATAAGTGTTCATTTTGTTGGTACCAAACTGCTCTTTGAAATGTAGTTGTCAATTTGTGTTAATGCTGTATGTGTTTATAACACCAGGAGGAGCAGGTGTTCGTCTGTGGGTTGAAGTACTTTGAGGAAGACTATGAGTTTGATGAGGAGGTGGAGGTTGAGGCGCCGCTGAGGCTGATTGAAGAGAATGTGAGTTTTTTCGAAGACGATGAGGTGGAGCTCATCAAAGTAGCAGTCCCTGAGTTCGCAGACGGCGATTCAGCTGGCATCCTGCATGACTTCACCATGGTACAAAAATACACACACACACACACACACAGTGTTTAGCCATAACCACCATAAACATATTATCAGTCACGCTGCTGCATTTGTATCCATTATAAATTGAACAGGGATGGACTGGTTTTCTGAAATTTTCAGTTTCTGAGATTATAGGTTGCAAAACATCACAATTTTTTAATGTAAAAAAAAAAAAGTCCCACAGAACCCTAATAGGCTGACATATTTACATTACTGGATAATGAATATGGGTTTGTCAAGGACTAATTCTTTTAGTTTTACTTTTGGTCCTCCCTCAATCTTGAATATTTTGTTACATCTTTCATTCTTCTAAAATAGTTTTCTTGAATTAATTAATTAAGTCTGTATGTTTCAGTGTGAATAACCCTGTGTGTCATTCTGTGCTGTCAGAAACTGACTGCTTACCTCGACCTGAATCTAGACAAATGCTACATCATCAACCTGAACACATCTATTGTCATGCCGCCCAGAGATTTCCAGGAGTTCCTGGTCAACATCAAGGTAACCAGCCACATTAATAACAGGAGATTCTGTGAATTTGTGTCAGTAGGTGGGTCTTGTGTTGGCGTGAATGTGTTTTTCACACAAATGCATTTCAGACGTTAAGTTGATGTTTGTGTGTGTTTTTGCAGGCAGGAATGTATCTTCCTCAGACATACCTTGTGCGAGAGGAGATGATGATTACAGAGAGGCTGGACAGCACCAGTGATCTGGGCTATTACATCAATAAACTGTGCAAAGACAAAGACACGTACAGACTGCAGCGCAGAGAAACTATACTGGGTAAGTGTACACAAACAAACCATTTGATAAGACTTTGTTTACAGTAAACAGTGTTTACATCTCTCCACCATCACAGTGGATCTCATTTTCAAGTTTTTAAGTGGTGGAGGCACAGTATTTCGTCTCATGTTCACCGTATAAACAAGTACATTTCAAATTTCTGAAAGCTGAATGTGCTCCACTGCAGGTATGCAGAAACGTGAGGCTCTGAACTGCCACACGATCCGCCATTTTGAAAACAAGTTTGTTGTGGAGACTTTGATCTGCGAGCCATGAAGAACATGAACCTCTGACGCAGCAGCAGATCTTCAGCTCTTCCTTTCATTCAGTGAAAAGAGTTTCTTTTGTGCCTGCTTGTTTTTTCATAGGCCTTTTTTCACATATATTTTTTTAAAATCTAGAATGTGAAATTGTTTTTTCTGCACAAAGAGGTATATTATATTTGAGTGTACATGTAATGAGTGTCTTATGCTATTTTATGAATATTAGGCCTAATAAAGGGACATATTGCGCACAAGAACAAAAAGGGATTAACAATGATTTTAGCCTATATAGAAGCCCAATCAGTTTAGACAGTAAGTAATTTAATAATTAAGAGTTTATTCCATGAGCTTGCTGAAAAAGTATGATTTTTTTGTCTTTATATAAAAGTGTTTCTGTTGTATTCAACATTTGCAACATCTACTGTATTTCAATTTGGTCCTGTTCAAAGGTTTCAGCAAATTACTGTATAATCTGGATCACAATGTTGCAGCGTCACAATTTGAAGTATTCTTGAATTTGCGTTTAATTTGTAGATCTATTTCGAATAACCATACAAACAGAACACTTCCTTTAAAATGTTCCTATCTGAAATGACTTTTTGTTCTTTGCTAATTTGTATATAAGCTAAACACTCTTCTGTCTTTAGACACAAGCTCCATATAAGAAAAAAAAATAAACAGAAAAATCAGACAAAATGCTTTTGCTATGTTCATGTGTTATTTTGTTAGGTTTGTCAGTATGCACTACTATTCAAATGTTTGGGGTGGATTTTGTTTTAAAGAAATTAATACTTTTTTCCGTCTCAAGAGCGACAGTAAAGGCATAACTTTGCCAGCGCTGCTTTTGGTGATTAGTTGAAGGCGATGTTAAAATATTTCATCTTATCCCAGCTTAATATGCAGAGACAACTATAAGTAAGCATTTTGTAGCTTTATTCCCCTGAAATGTAAATACTGAGACTGTGTTGCACTCAGCATTGAGAGAGAAAGTCATTTTCAGTTGATTTCAGATTTTTAGCAGGTATGGCTCAGGTGATTGGCTCAAAGACTTTCATGAGCAAAAATCGGCAGGAAGCAGGTCACAATACTTCTGGGGAACCTGCCAAACTAACAAGCAACTTCTTTCTGGCAATATGGCTTGAAGATCTCATTTGCCCCCTCTGGTGGTTAAAGCCCATTCTTACATTGTTAAACTACATATTAAATCCTAAAACAAAGAAACAAAAACACAAGAAACTAATCATACTAAGCAGCACTCACTCACCAGCTGACCACAATAATAACACACCTTGAATTGTTAAAATGGCTTTTAAAGATCCGTCACGTCCACACTAGCAAATCCCATGGACTGTCAAGCGAAGTTCATGAAGAAGGCCTGCCTGTAGGCTTATGTACTTTTCCCTAAACATCGTAAAAACAAAACCCGTACATCGGAGTTATCATAACTGAAATGTAATTGTTGACTGGCAGCTGTGGTAGTAGATTCACTCATTTCATTAAAAAGGCCATTTGAAAAGGGGAAATTTATTTGAAGACACTGGACTGAGGATGTATAAATTTCAGCATTCATAAACAAGATGGCTGACAGCATTTGTGATCTGTAGAGTTTACTTTCAATACAACACCAGTCAGAACCCTGAACAGCTCCTTCAACACTGGTTAACCAGCAATGGCTAAAGACAAATGGCATGAGGGCTTCCGTCAAGAGCAGAATGTAAATGCCAAACTGAAGATCTTCTGCTCGATTTCTCGAGGAGCTTCTCATAAGCACATTCTGACGAAGCCCATTGGTCTCCAGAATTAACATACTATTCTTGGTAAGACAAGGAGAGGAAGGGCAAGTAAATAAACCAATTAAAAATGGTTGACATTTCGAGAGGGAAGATCACCCCTTTTGAAAGTACATATCTGTGAAACCAAATTTAGCTTTCTTCTTCCTATAAAGAAACGAGCACAAAGCATGGTATACTAGCTATGTCTGCATTTTGTGGTCACAAAATTGGATTTATTTGTACGAGATACAAAAAATGTAAACATTGCAAAATAAATAGTTAAAACAAGTGACGCAGGACCTATATTCATGCTCATGATCCCAACATGAACTGATGCACTTGTCTTGCTTGCATTTTCAAGTGCAAAAGCATGATGACAAAAACAAAAAAACAATCTAGGATTCAAGTAACAGAAAAGACAGACTAATGATACAAATATACTATTTTACAAGGTAGTGATAATTCCCAATTTTACAAAATGTACACTTATAATATTGACAAATTTCTTAATATTTTGATATGCTGTTATTGGGTATAAGTCGGTGTTGAAGCGCACAGCTCTCAGCGCTGCAGTCTCTGTGTTTTTGGATGGGCTAGGTGACCTCCATGGCGACTGTGGTCTCTGATAATCCGTTGAGAGCCAGTCTCTCTGGTTTGTGATTCTCCCTGCAATAGCAATAGAACATATTATATATTATTTAAACTTTTCATTCTATATTTGAAATTGAAAGATACACTAAACTAAATTTTATTCAGCAAGGATGCATTAAATGTCATTACTGTCACTTCTGATGATTTTTATTATGTTACTTGTCAAATAAATTCTGTCCTTTGAACTTTCTATTCATCAAAAAAAATAATGGTTTCCACAAAAATATTAAGCAGCAAAACTATTTTTTAACATTAATAAGAAAAAAAAGAGCATAAGAAACATCTATCGAAAGCATAAAATCCCAAACTTTTGAACAATAGTGTATATTTTTTATTCTAAAAAAAAAAATTACATATTTAAATAAATTTTTCGCCATCCCACAAAAAAAAAAAAAAAAAAAAAAAAAAAAAAAAAACAATTAAAGGAAATTAACTGTCAACTGAATAAGAATAAGTGCTCTGTCTGGGTTCAGACCTGGCAATGTCGATGGCACTAGTGGGGGTGACTTTGGGTACCCGGTCCAGACTGTTAGCAACACTGGCCAACTTTAAGGCTGAGGGTGAAGGGGTGCACAGGCGTGCACTGTGGTGCGTATGGGCAGGTGACACAGCGCTCACGGTGCTCAGGTGCCCGTGGCCGTGAGGCAGAGATGCATTCGTCATCCGTACTAAAGAGCCTGACTCACCACCACCACCTCCACTCTGTACAGAACGGTTCAATTTGGCTTGTCTAAAGCTTCCTGCAGGAGACAGAAGAATCATTTCAATAATCGATTTAAGTAATCAAATATGCTTAACTTTCTTTAAATTAACCACCAAACAAAGAGTTTGATATAAGTCTCCAAATTAATTTAGGTCTCATTAACAGTTTTGTTATTATTCCCCCACTAAGTTATATAGTATAGCTATAAAGCATTTTTAGTTTTAAAATATTGGGACTAAAACATTGCAATAGAACTACTGAAAATTTTAGATTTCAAATGACATGAAGTTGCACTTGCCTGTATTAGGAAGGACGCCATTGACACTAGCAATCTGGGGCCTGTTTTCATTGTTGGGAGTGTTGACCACAGCAGAGGCAGCAAAGTGTGCACTAGCCGAGTCCAGAGTCTTAGACATGCAGTCAGATGACGCCGTGTTCTGTAGAAGATTCATTTTTGATGAATTCATAATTACAGAACAGAATGGGAGTGAGGTTAAGCACCATAATGCCTGTCATTTAGTGTATAAACTCACAGGCAGGTGTGTGTGCAGTTCTGGTGCTGTCGAGTTCTGCTGGAGTTCTTGCTGCTGTAACTGTTTGTGCATCTGAACCAGCTGCTGCTGATGGGAGTGAAACTGTTCTTCTGTGAATCCACCTGCATGTGCAAGAATATAGAGCATAAATTGATGCTCTACAGATTTAAAGAGATTTAAACCCGCAATTTCATTTTTTCCCGCTAGGTGGCAGTAAAGTAACTGATGTACTAAGGAAACCATTAACACTAACATTCGATAGTTTTTTTTTTTTTTTTTTTTTTAATGTACCACTTCTTCAGCAAAGGTGCATTCAATTGATCAAAAGTGACAGCAAGAGGCTTTAAATAAATGAATAAGATAAACATGTTACTGACTTTTAACGGTAGTATACATGTGTAATAACGATCAACATTGCACTCAGCCATTTAATGTAAATATGTGCAATTGTGCTTGTTAAATGACAACGGGTTCAAGGAATTATGATGTGGCTCAAATAGATTCAAGCTAAACTATTTGCATAAATACACTGGTAGGGCAAAACACAATTGAATGCATGAAAATAAAGTAGCTGAATTATTGCCAGAAAAATCTAAAAACTTGCTCTGCATACAGACTTCGTTCACTACTGAGAGCCGTGAGAGCTGAGTTTTATGCATAGTAGGGCTGCTTGATTATGACAAAAATCATAATCACGATTATTTTGGTCAATATTGTAATCACGGTTATTTAACAATTATTAGTGGGTCATAGGACCAAAACTTTATATGAAAGATTTATTTAAAGACAGCCATATATATCAAATATATTTTTTCTGTAAATAAGTTTACTATGACATCTACATTTTAGAGAGTGAAATGTCACAATTCTCAATACCACAGCAGAGTACTAAGGTATAGCCTAATTTACTTTAATCCAATTTACTGTTACACATTTATTTTCATTCTCACCCGTTTACGTCCATTTATTACATAACCGACGAGGGTTTACGTGAATAATAACTAAGTGCCAGTTCAGTGCAAGTGCAAGTCAGTTTTGACACATTTGTGTGTATTTGACCATTTAGGCGCTAAAAGATGACTTTACAGTACGTGTTCTGTTCCGTCTCTGAGCACATGCACAGAAATCTTCCCAACGAACAGCGCAAGTTCTCGTTCGTGCTTTTAAAAACATGAATAAATCGTCCCATTTTGCAAGTCATGCAACATGATTTTACTGATTTGCACATGAAATTGGGCTTTTAATGGAGTGAAAGCGCACCACTGAAAAATGGGGCAGAATGGGGCGCAATAATTGTTTTATCTTGATTATTGTATTTTCATAACTACTGGAGGCCGAAATCAAAATCATATTTCGATTAAAGGGTTAGTTCTAGCCTAGGGTTGGGTATCGTTTGAGTTTTTTTCGATACCGGTGCCAAATCGATACTTTTAAAACTGTTCCGGTGCCTGAACCGATACTTATTGAAAAATAAATAAATAAATAAAAATTCCCCCCAAAAATGATAGATTGGCCATCAGTATATAAACACATGATGTATGTTTCATTCACACTAGAAGCCAGAGGGCGTCCTCGCACAGAAAATCCACATATCCAGTATTTAAATCGATCGCTCAGGCATGGCACCGAAATGAGGCACCGAAATCTGTGTTCTGATTCGGTTCTAGTACATACTGGTTACATAGGTACCGTGCCATATTGGTACCGGGTTTCGGTACCCAACCCTACCAAATCGATACTTTTAAAACTGTTCCGGTGCCTGAACCGATACTTATTGAAAAATAAATAAATAAATAAAAATTCCCCCCAAAAATGATAGATTGGCCATCAGTATATAAACACATGATGTATGTTTCATTCACACTAGAAGCCAGAGGGCGTCCTCGCACAGAAAATCCACATATCCAGTCACAGAAGTAGGAACTCATGACCCGCCTGCAAATCCCTTATATGGACAAAGGCATTGCTATTATAGCTGTAACTGAGTAAACCGAACATATAAACGTTTTGAATGATAAAACAAAGACAATAA